GTTTCATTTCATTCATGAGGGGGGCGTTTTGGAGTGGTGAGCTTGACGCAGAGAAGTCAAGGTCGTATGAATACCTATGGAATTACCGTAATTACCTAGATAGATTGCCAATCAAGGCCGGCAGCTCAAACGTTACGAGCCTGCTATCGCTCCTCTGATGGACAAACCAATCTGCCCTTCCCTCCCTTAATTCATTTTCGTGATGATATGTATCGTAGCGGATCGGCGGGGAGCGGTGGAGTGGCAGCATTCCGTGATGGTGGGAAGACCCCTGTAGAAGGTAACTTTTAGCGCCCGCCAGTTCGACGTCTGATTCTGGCCTTGTCCCCTCCAACTGCTGTGCCTCGAGCTCGCAATGAGGCATCAACGCTCGAAATGATGAGCCCGCTGCGGACACAAGCCTCTCGCAGAGCTCTGCAGAGCTGCTGCTGCCGTCTCCGGCCCGTCTCGCCCCGTCACGCGACTCAATTCCTCCCCGCGCAGTCCCGATCGTTCCACCCTCCCGAATACTCACCAAGCGACGCAAAGGACTTCAATCGAAAGGTCCGGGAATTGGTCAAATCCTCGCCCGTGCCGGAGAATGCAAGGATTGCCATTGTCGGTGCTGGACTCACCGGCCTCACCACTGCGTACTACCTCGCCCAGGACCTGCCTCCAGGATGCAAGATTGTCATCTATGACGGCCAGAATCGCGTGGGGGGCTGGATTCGATCAGAGACGCACTCGGTCGATGTCGGGGGTACCAAGTCCCAGGTTCTGTTTGAGCGAGGTCCGAGGGCCATCTCCCCCGGTGACACGCTGCACGGCCAACAGGATCGCCTTGTGCTATACGACTTGGTGAGCCCGCCTGGACTGTCCTTGCGACATTGATACGATGTAATTCCTGCTAACAGATATGTAATATAGTTGCTGAATCACGGTCTAATAGCTTACCCCGGCCGACCTAACCTGGCACGATTTATTTACAGCCCGCAGGGACATCTGGTGAACTTGTCAGGCATACGTCTCGACCCATCCATATTCGAGGAGCCTATCTACAGATTGATGCTCAAGGGAGGTTTATGGTGGACTCTGAAGTGGCGCTTCAGAAGACCGGGCTGGTTCCCTAAGGATGACGTCTCACTGGGAGAGTACGTGGAGCGAGCGTCCGGGAGCCGACAGCTGGTTGAGGATGTGGCCTCTGCAGGAGTCCATGGCATCTGGGGCGGTGACATCGACAAGATCAGTGCCATGAGCGCCCTGGGACTCCATTTCCAGTCGGCGAACCTGACATATGGGCAGGCCGAAGAGCTCGGTCTACGCGTGACCGAGCAGAGGTTCGTGTCACAGTTCCTACAGGACCGGCCTTACGTCAAGATCATGTATGCCTTGAAACCGCCGGCTCTCGTGAACTTTGGAAAGTTCGGCCTGGAGTCGCTCCCGATTGCTTTAGCGGATTCGCTCAAATCCGATGACAGGGTTGAGATGAGACTGGGCAATTCTATCAGCGGGATTGAGTACGACGCTGGTGAGAGGAAGGTCAAGGTAAGCCGAAATACTATTAGATATGTTTGCTATTTTCGCATCTGACTTCCCTCCCCCTTTTAGATTACAGATTCAAAGCAGCAAACCGAAGTCTACGACAAAGTCATCTCAACCACCTCTGGCCAGCATGCATACCAGATGACTGGCGGCAAATTAAAAAATCTCCAGGACTCAGAATCAGTAAACATCATGACAGTCAACCTCTGGTATCCCCAAGAGACCCTCGTCCCCGCCGGGCTCGGCTACCTCATCCCCAAGTCCTGCCCACCAGAGCTGAACCCCGAGCGCGCCCTGGGCGTCTTCTTCGACAGCAACGTGGCCGAGCAGCAGCAGAGGCAGGAAGGCGGCACCAAGCTCTTCGTCCTCATGGGCGGGCACCAGTACGACGGCGTGGAGCCCCCCTCGGAGGCCCAGGCTATCGACCAGGCCAAGAGCCTGCTCCACCGCCACCTGGGCATCCCCGTCGACCTGCCCTGCTACGCCGTCTCCAACTTCGCCAGGGGCTGCCTGCCGCAGCACCACGTCGGCCACCACAGGCGCATGGCGAACCTCTCGTACGAGCTGATGGACAAGTTCGAGAACAGGCTCGCGCTCATCGGCGGCTCCTACTCGCGGCCCGGCGTGGCGAGCGCCCTCCGCGCCGGCTTCGACATGGCGCACGCGATGACGAGGGAGAACTTCTACGATAACGGCGTCACGCGTTTCAGCCATAAAGAGGTCTCGGATCCGTACTTTCCCTTTGGGGAGAAGGCATATCTCGACAGGAACCAATGATCTTGTTGATTGTATACTATGTAGAAAATATAAAACGATCTTGATGTTTGCCGTGAGGCTGGACTCACACGCTACTTATACTATCTAGAATATCCTCAGGCATGGGTTTAAATACCTCGATTAATCCACTTTCTTTACTCTCTGGTGCAGTCCCTCGGTTTGGTCTCAGGACCCCGGAACAGGTCATGAACAATCCCATTACACGCTTCATCCACCCCAGCGAAGGTCTTACTCTTGAGGTTATGCCTGACCTCCATAATGATACAATGAGGGGGGGGGGGGCGTTTAGTCCTGCCCCTGGGAAGTAGTAGCCGTAGTCGCCTGGCAGCTTGATCATAGTACTGGCGGTGCATCGGATAGTGAAGCTGCGCAGGATAGCGCGTCCGACCGTCGTGGCAAAGTCCGCGTTCCACTTCATACTGAGGCCCAGGCCAAGGAAGAGGCACAGGCAGAGATAGTATAGGGACATGCCAGAGTGTAGACAGGCTCGGTACAGCTTCACCAAATTTCCGCATCAGCGCAAATATCAATATATATAAAACCCGGATCGATCATATTTATCCTCCCTATGACTTCTTTTAAATTTAGATTCTTAAGAGCTGCGAAGGAATCCGTAACGAGGGTGTAGCGTTTATTTAAGTGTAAGATCAAGGCCTTTTGTCGTACTTGATGATCTTTTACCGTGGAGCTGAATGTATATCGTGGGAATATACAATGGCTATTCATTGTATTATGGGCTTTGAAGTAATGTAAGTTTAATGCCCAAGGTATAAAGATATCCGAGATCGCTTGATAATCTTCGTGTAAGCAAATCTGATTGGGGACTGTATAATAAGCCTCCAGGTGGAGCTATAAAGATGATACCTGGAAAAACCGCTGTGGGCAGTTTGAATAAGATTCAAGATCTTGTTCAGCTATCGGTAGACTAGGGTCAGCTCTGACGCGAGCTTGACACCCTCATTCACATTGCTGATATTATGGAGAAAGAACTCGCATGCTTCCCGCCAAAACTCTTCATCTTCATTGCAATGAATATGGTCAAGCTTGACCATCGTCTCGCTCATGCCGGGGCAGCTGACTAGTGGTGCTGCCGCATCTATGCCAGCAAGGTCTCGATATAGCTTCATTGTGCCTTCGGGTAGAGTTGGCTCCTCCGCCTCTTTCCCTGCGTTGGGCCCCTGCTTTGCTGCTTCTTGTTCTCGTATACCTGACTGTACAATGGGAGAGAGGTTGTTAAGAGAATTTGCATATTGTTGTCCAATGTCTGACTGTAGAATTGTCGCAGGACAACATCATGCTCCCTTTGTCTTGGTGCAGTCCCTCGGTTTCCAGGATAATATCACGCTCCCCTTGTCTCGGTGTTCGAAGGAAGAGCTCTTGAAACTCTAGATAATCCACATTCCCTACTCTCTGGTGCAATCCCTCGGTTTCTAAGACGGCATCATGCTCCCCTGGTCCTGGTGCTCAAAGGAAGATCTGTTCAGGATCGAGTCGCAGTGCGCCGGATGTTTCGTGACAATACCGACGCTCGTCAACGACCCTTCCCCCCCCATGTATTCTATCTCAATCTGTGTCGGAGATGCCTCGCTCTTCTTCGTTTAAAGAATAATACCTCCTGCATAATAGAAGCCAGACTCCCGTGGCAGGGATATTCGAGCATGTCCTTCACGACTTTGAGATTCTTGACCCTCCGTGATGGCTATCTCGCAAACATCCCACTTGAAAAACAAAACAATATCAGAAACTTCTCACCCCCAGCAGCTGGATAGTCCCCATCGCCAGAGAAACCAAGATACCATACAACCCAGCCCATCTCCTAAAAGAACAAAAGTGAGACTTCATGAAGTGCGGAGGCTTTATGGCCTCCGCTTCTAGTATCCCACCGAGCTCCATAATCCGCGCCTCCTGCTTCCAAACCCCCTTATGAAACAAATACTGAGTATCCGGACGCTTTACCACGTATTGCTGACCTGTATACGGGTTCCAGCAGTGCTTTACGACACCGAAGCCGCCTTTTCCAACCTCACTCTCGATCGATCCTCCCCGTGAAAGTATCTCGGGACTGTGAGAGGAACATGTTGCGACAATGGACCGTCGGGATACTTCCCTTGCCTGAACAGTTGAGCCTGTATGTTTGGCTCCTGAAGGCCCTGAAGGGCTTTGCCAGGGAGTATATCGAATATCAATTCTTCTTGAACAATGATCCTCAACCGCCACCGATCGAGTTGGCCTGGTGTCGAGTGCAGTTTTCTATATATATCGGGCATATCGCGCCCTGCGAGTATCCACTCAGCATTGCAGCCAGCTCACAGCGACCCAAGCCCGAGATCAGTGTCATAGGATGTTATAGACCACTCTGCTACTTCTACGATACTCTCTTCTCCTTCCGAGTCGCTTGATTCCTCTCTTTTCGTTATTGATATTCAGGTTGGAGCACTCGAAAAGGTTTGGTACCAGGTCAAATTCGTCTTCTTCCTCTCCTTCCTCGGAGCAAACGCTATCGAGACGCATCTTTAGCAGTAGCCAGTCTGGTTTTGGCAATACCGCAGACCCATCGTTCTCAGGGACTGTCCCAGAATCCAACTTGAAAGGGCGTTTGTCTCGTTTCTGTAAGACGTACCCGCATTGCTTTCACTTGTCTCAGGAACATCTAACCAATTCAGTCCCGTGTTTTGGCCGCCAGGCAACAGAGAACCGAAGTATTATATAGCCTGTAGACCGAGTGGGTGTTTAGGCTCAGCGATTGTTATCAACCCGGTGTAAATGACGCGTGCGGCGTGGTTGGATGCGCCAGTCTTGCAGCGTTGGTTCAATCCCAGGAAAGCTGTGATTTGGCCTGCGCGGTAGAGTCTGTCCAGGAGACTCAGAGCTCGTTGTTTGGAGTAACGGGAGCCAACTTCCTTGTTGCTCGAGAGCTTGTCCAGAGGCCCTGGTTGCATCGGGTCACCAATGAAAACAGCTGGTGTCTCCGGGAAATGGGAAAACAACACAAGCGCCATGCATTCGGTAGGCGATTGAGTTTGTCCATCTTTCAAACTACATCCGCTGAGAAACTGTGCTCACAAGAGTGACCAGTATGCCTTCCACCAGCAGCGACCACAACGGCATTAGTACAATCCTCCTCTGATGCCACATGCTTTCGTCCTTGACCTCCGTCTTAAGCTCGCGCATTCCAGCAAGCTCGAAATAGGCTCCATGATTGCGTGCCGCTTTCTTCGACTCTGATACTGTGCCCACAAAGTTATTCATCCGCGGGCTGTTGTCCTGCGATACTTCACTTGATAGAATGTGTTCACCCAGCTGCTTCAGCGCTGGTGCCCACCGGCGCTCTGCAGCGATCCTCCGTATAAGCCCTCCTTCTACCATGCAAGAGAGCCCATCCTTCATGGCCAGCTCCTCCGTTATGCCCTGCCAGTCCAGGAGCAAGCTCCATTTCATCACATTTCGTATATTGCCCACCCGGTCTTCCTATGATCCCAATCCATCGCGTCCGTGAACCGGACTGATAACCTCTTCGGCAGAATTCTCGCTCCTGGCACACTCTGCTAGACTGCGCGGTTGCCACTGCAAATCTCCGATCTAAACTTCTGGACAGCCCTCTCTGCAGTACTATGAGCACTCGAACAGGTTCGGTGCCAGGTCCAATTCGCCCTCTTCGTCTCCTTCCTCCGAATAAACGCTATCGAGGTCGTCTTCTGCGACAATCTCTTCCCCTTCCGAGTCGCTAGACTCTCCATGGATAGACAGTGTTGACAGAATGTGATTCTCGCCAACGTCCATCGCGCTCGTGGCGGCCATGGTAGTGAAATCGAATGAAAATTCGTGGTCCGTCATTGCGACGTCTTTCGCTATACCTATAGACTAACCCCAGATCATCAGTCCGGCAGCGATTTGGTCGACTGTAAAGTTATTGGTATTATGGACGACTCTCGCTTCAAGGGCTCGGGCCAGTGATTGGTAGCCCGTTCACGATATCTCTGAGGACCGATATTGTAGGGATCAGCGGGTTCGGTATCTGGTGCTCTAAGCTGTACACCAGAGCAAAGAGACCATATTCAAGGCCTTATAACTCGGTGGGAATGATCTCCCAGCCGTCTAGATAGTCTGCTGCGTGAGCCTTCCCTGTCCCCAGTGGCTGCGTTTTGCTGGTCTTTTATATATAATAATGACTGGATCTTAAAGATCTTGCTGCTGTGATGTTGACTATTATGATCCAGGACCTGGAAGAACCTATTATCAACAGCTCTGTTATTCTCTGGTAGCGGTTGAGGCAATCGTGGTAGTTCGCCATTGAGAGTCTCATCGGTGGACCGCACTGACTGCCCCTCGCTCTCCTCCGGACTGGCTAATGATCGCCATCATAGCATCTGCCTTCTTACTCCCCATCTCGTCTCTTGTCTGCTACTTCGAGTCTGTTGCACTGCCGGTACTGTCCGCCGCGCGTTCTCTGACATCGCTTTTTACGGAGTTGCCGCTCGGTCACAGTGCGATCTCCTTTCGGCCCATGCTGTGATAGCTATCCTAAGCTTCACACCACCTCGTTAGGTCTGGCGTTTTGAATCAGGCCACTGCGGCCGGCGATCGATTGATGAATACCCACCCAGGATACTGCCCTCCCAAGTGGGTGATATTGGAATTGAGACACTCAAACATTAAGCTGCTCATTCTCGAGTCTGCAACCGGCATTATCGGATTATTGAGTGTCAATAATACATGCTTGAGGGATAATACGCAAATATCATCACTTTCTTTCGTTTTATACTCCTGAACTTCTTCATTTATCTTCGAAAGGAAAAACTCTTCCATTCGGTGTCTCATTTCTCCTGTCACCCACTTGCCTCGAATCAATGGAGATGGGGGCATCAGATAGCCACTTGGATGAGCCGCAGCGTGCTTCAACTTTTTGTCGGTCGTGAACCAGCTTTCTCTTGCTCGAACACAATCCGAGACCCCCCCGGCCACTTCGATTCTCTTGGCGTCCTCTGCCTGTGCCTCAGCCTCAATACGGGCCTCCTCGAATGCCTCTCGGTCTTGCTGTTCACCATCGTTAAACTCGACATCTGACTCGTTATCATCAGAGTCTTGGATGGTGGCCTGGATGGTAACACCATCCTCGTCCTCGGCAAGATCATCGGGCACCGTAAGATCCGGGGATACATCGACATCAGTGTTGTTCAGAGCGGTGTTCATTTTCTTGACTGCATCGCTGTACTTTGGGTCAATGTCTGCCTTATCCTTAGAGTCTGCTATAGCAGCTCTCAGTCTGTCCAGGAAGTTCTTCTGTTTATTATCGGTAAATTCAAACAGATCGGTATACAGATCGCACAGTATATTATTATCAGCCTTAAGAACTATCTCCGAAAGAGCCTTTCTAATATAGTCGAGGTTAATAATAAGGTTGGTAATCTTATCCCTGGTCAGCCGGAGGAGGGACTTAGTAAGCAGTAAGAGGTAATATCCTATGGTGACTGTATACTGGGAATAGTAGTTTCTGAAATTATTACTATCCTGCTTCAGCAGGATCCAAGCAAAACGGTTGAAGCTATACCCGAACTTGGTCTTGATGGCTTCCTATATCAGGAGGTCTTGCAGGATAGGAGGTAGCTACTCCGGGAGTGCTGCCTCAGCGGCTATCTGCTTAGCCATCTTCGTAAGCATCGCCTTTGCCTGGTGATCGTGGTAACTGTCCTGCACATGGATCAGGCGCCAGTCGACCTCAGTGGTTCTGCGTCCACACGACCTCCTTGGCGTGTCTCTGGACTCGAGTGAGTATTGGTTTGGTAGCATTTTCTGTATACAAAAAGGGCACTTTGGCATTGTAACGTAATTATGCGCCTCGCTCAGCTCAAAGAGACGTGTAAGGCTGTTGCTTGTTGCTTCTTGTTCTATTTGTTTCATCTCGCGTCTCTGGGTATATTTTTCGAAAATCTCCTTGGACACCGTGTTGACATCGGCACCATGAAACACTGCAAGCTCCATGGTGGCTAGATTTCCACTTGCTGCGGCTTGAAAGATGATGGGCCTCCATAGTAGCGATATCCTTTGGGTCGAATGGGTGAAATGCTCCTAACCGATTTGATCCAAAGTTGAGCTGAAGTTGCTTCCCTTCGTTTGAGCTTAGCCAGTGCTGAGCGGAGTGGTTATCAGTACCTCGTTGGTAGACCGTTATTCGGTGACACCCTCTGCAACCTTGATATTGGAGCCAGGGATCCCCCCTCCAAGGCTATTGGCTCAAACTCCAGTGGCAGGTTAGGCATATACGCAGGATCTGCATTTATGTCTTTTGCACCGTCTTCGAACTGATTTGCCCGTTCGTTACGGGAATCCCTAACCATGAAGTTGTGAAGATTCTATGGCTTCGGTAAGTGAGCAAGGGAGAGCGGTTGATTGGTCCTCCTTGATATGATTATATACTCCACGGGATTTGGAGCTGATCACTTCCACCTGGACCTGCTTGGATCCGCTGAAATAGGCCGTTGGCGATGGACAGACATATGTCCATGATCAACTCGATGCTGCCGCCATCCCTCTCGTGGCATACCTCCTCCATCTTACACCGATGGAACGTACCTCGGTGTTGGGGAAGAAGAAAGACCAGTTGCTACTCGTCCGCGATAAGCTTCATATGTGCTCTCTGCCATATAGCTATCTACCATCACCGCCCAATTGACAGCGACACCCTTTCTGAGACCATGGCTGAAGAAGGGCCTTTGTCATGTGTAAAGATGAATTCCCGCCGGCTGTGAAGCTGTTCATGAACATAACCAATTGGTCAGACACCGGCTTGTTCATCATAATGGCCCTGGTGATTTCCTGACCCAGGGCGCACAAAACTGGAAGACAAGTATCCCGCGTAATTTCCGTATGAAACAAGAAATTCAAATCATCCTCCAACTAGAGATATAATGACGAGACGAAAGAGTATAATGGAGAGAGACGAGAATAACAAAGAAAAAGTGGCTGAGAGTAGAATAAAGTAGATTACTATGAAAGATGGAACGACGAAATAGCGAGAGCAGCGCCAGGATGATCGGGGTGTGGGAAGAAGTGAGCGGCCTTCTATGTCCGCTCATCACCCACGACGGTGTCGACGAAGATGTCATGGCAATGCTTGTTAACGATGAGCGACCTCGGAATTCTTCTGGCCTCTCTCTGCCAGTTATCGATTCTCTGCACGCCACATTATACCGGGAATTTCATCCTGTAGACTAAATCAAGGCAACCTTTGCCTGGTTGCTCGGCCGCCTCGCCTTATTGCCCCTCAGAAGGCCGGAGAGGGATTGATCAAATGATTGACCTTTGGTGCTCAGACCTCTCTTACCTTGACCATCCTCTCCCGAGGTCTCCATGATAAGAGCTACCTTCTTCGGACGAACACGCTCCTGTCTATCGTGAGCGTAAGGCAAGAAGTTGCATTCAGCACTCGGCTAGTCGCGTCCAGCATGATGCCCATGAAACAATCTCGCAGTGCACTTTGTGCTTTGCAACCATCAAAGTTGTGGCCTGTATCGTGGCACTTGGGGTACTAGAGGACAAAGTTCGGAGACAAAACGACCACCTCAGGGGAAGCGAGAATTATTTTCACCTTATGATGACTGTGCTCTCCAGGCCCACAATCTTCCATCGTTTCGCGAGGTCGAGCTCTCATAGCGGGCTCGAGAGACAGAACGTGTTCCCACCGGACAGCATCCTTTTGATCCGAGGATCATGCTCGAGATTCAAAGCGCACACCCATATGAGCTTTCCCCTCCTACACTGCCCAAGACTGGAATTAATAGCAGGTCGGTGCGTTAACCACTCGGCCAAAGGGCGAAATTGCTCGTATTCCAATTTTGGGCAGTTTCTTTGGGCAGCTTATTTCCCAATTTCCGATACTACCAATGGGTGGCGTTCTGGAAAGAAGAAATTTTGAGACCAGAACAACGAATGTCTCAGATGTGATAATACTTCAAGTAGAAATGAAAGGTCAATTTCTTAGGGTCGAAGAAGAAGGACCTTAGGTTGAAATGCTGATTCGAAGAGAATAGGTAGGTAGTCTAAGCGCATTGAGGACGTCCGGGCTCATAACCAGTTGAATGGTGTTAAGGCGGTGATCCAAAAACCAATATAAAGAGGATCTAAGAGGCTCTCTGAATCATGCACAAAGTCTTCGAGAGGATTCTCTTCAAGATCGTCGACATGGGCGAGGAATCGATCCCAACCCAACGAATTTCCGTCAGGGTAGGACCCTGCAACTGCGATTCTAATGCATGTTGCAAGGTCACCTGTTTCCTTCACATTTATTCTCCATCTGGGATTAGTGTCCACCGAATCCTGGAGAATCTAATAGACAGAAAGTGAAACCGACAGGATTAACATAGAGAATCGTAGGGAAACCTTTTAGCGTAACAGCGAGATAAACGTTTCACCCAAACGTGTGTGTGTGTTAGTCGGATGTGTAAGAGTCCCCAAACGAACAACATTGCTGAGTCGAGCTCGTACGGCGCCATCGATTGAGAATGTTAAGGCCGTCCTCCGCCCTCGCGCTGTTGGTACCATGACCGTATCATCTTGATAACCGTCTCTCTCTCTTGGAAGCATTGCTTGAAAACCCGCCAGCTGCGTGGGCGCAAGCGTGCACAACAGTACGTGCAGCTCGCCATCTGAGGAAACTCAAGTAGATTGCCACTCGCATCCGCTTGAAGCGAAGAAGTGAAGGGGGGCAAGAAGTTCATGTTGTTGTATCCAGGGTGTGTCTGTATACACGCAGAGGCGGTGGTTGTGTGTTAGCACTGCCTCCGTGGCATGCATCGAGTTTATCACCATCGCGTACTTGATGCAATAGATGAAGCATGTGGGTGTCGGCAAGTATTCTGGAGGGTTTCGAGAGTTCATAGACGAATGTTGTCTCCCAGAAACTTGATCCATACTCTCGCGTCGTCTTAGACAACGGATACAAGGTAATACTTGCTCCCAGCTAGAGACTTGCCTCTGCAATCATCTGCTGTTGGACACTGAAATAAGCCTTTTGCCTTTTTTGAGACACTGGTAAATGATATAATCAGTTCCTTATCCTGGTTGTTGATTTTCTGTTGATCCGGGTCGCCGTCCCGCTTGTCCTTCCACACAAACATATCCATACATCTTATCCAATTCCTGCGATACCAGGTGGGATGTGTTGTCAGGATGATGGCTCTTGGCCAATTCGCATAGAAGCTTCCGATTGATGATATTAGCGCCTTTAACGAGTAAGGTTCGCGGAGTTATGTAGTACACGAGAATTCTCGCGTCCGGGAAGGACTTCTTTGCGTCATTATACACGTCGGCAATACAATTGACTGGTGTTTGGATGATGGATGATGGATGACTGGTGTTTGGATGATGAATGATGGATGACTGAAAGACGGGGAGGTCAAAACTCAGCCAGTCCTCCTCGGACATGGCACGAGACCATTTCAGGTCCTGATAAATTTGGTCCCCCTCTGGGATCTCCGGCTCGGGCGGACCAGTAAGGCGTAGATGTTCTAATTAGTAGTCTGCTCCAGCCCAAACAAACGTCTGGAGTGTGGTGCGAGCGTGACGCCCTGCTACACAGGCAAGTGTCTCCATGCGCCATAGGCAATCCGATATCGTATCTTGCGTTGTTGACGACTCTAGGCTGGTCTCCCACAACAAGGAACAAGAATGACAGCTGGGCGCAGGCGTCGATAGGAGTTCTGACTCAAAACGATCAACCTGCTCTTGCTCCTTGAGGACTCGTCACCTAAGCTGGTAGATTTGATTGAATGGGCAAGGGAATAGAGTACTTCTTCTGATTAGCGGGGGTTATTAGGGATGGATTATAATGAAAATGTGGTGGACGTACTACTCGCTGGGCCATCTCCTCCAGGATTGTCCCTAACTCTACTCCTTCACCTGCTCGAGCGTATGATTTCCGCTTCTAGACAGACAACCCCCCTCGAGGCCATCGACCCGGGGCCAAACAACAACGCCAGTGCAGTGGGTGCAAGTCTCCTAGGCCTACCTGACCTTACTGATGAACCGCCAAGTATATTGTGTTGCGATGAGATGCCCCGTCGTGACTTTTGTCTCGAGACTGGCAGTGAGAAGAGCACAAGAGGCGATCGATACCTTCCTCCGACGAATTCGCAGCCATAAACAGAGGCTAAGCGGAACCATTGAATATGGACATGCTATAGGCCGTGCGGAAGTTGGGGTTGTACGAAACGAGGCTTAATTTGGCGATATTCGATAGAATATGCCGGAAGAAGTGTCTATACAGGGAAACACAAGCTTTTACATTCTGTACAGCAAAGGCATCTCCTGAGCATCTTTTCTGCCTCGGAAAATCCACTTTCGTCCAGAGTGAAACCGAATTTTGGTATTTCCGCAAGATAGAAGTGGTTCAAGGTGTAGCACTGCCAAAATATAATGATAGTAAGTTCGTACACAGTCCTATTGTTGTGTTATAGTCATCTGTCGCACATTGGACCGGCTCATGACTTTGCCTCGAACACTGCGATCCCAGCTCATCCGCAGAAGCAGCCTTCGAGGTAGGCTGGCCATCACTTCTTGTTGTCGTTCTTGTTGGAGTGTTGTGCATGTTTCCGCAGCTTTGGGTCTCTGTAATCGATCGCGGCACAGACCGACACCGGTTCAAAGCTTCGGGCCCAAGATGGAGCTGGCGACCATGTACTTTGATCTGCATCACGAAAACCCCTATCTCGGTGAAGAGGAAGCAAGCAGCCCTGAAACCCAGCCATGGATGGGAGATGTGGAGATATTTTATGATCAATGCGGAAATATATCTCTGCTGCGTCGATATGTAAGCTTCGTGATAAAGTGCATTCCCAGTGTAGAGCCACACATCGGAGCTCTCTTGTAGCGCGAGAAGGAGTCAAAAGTATGTATTCATAGGGAGAGACATCACGTTGTAGAAGTTGGCGAAATGGCCGTGAGAGGCTGTTTGTATTGGAATACGTTGGCGATCGATCACGTTTGAAGGGGTCAGTTGGAACAGCTCGTCAGCTGATTCAGGTAAGCCTCCCGGAAGATATTTGGTTCTTGACATACTGGAACTAGAAGTTCTGAGCGTTACCTTTGAGGATGTGAAGCAAACCGGTCTTGAACTGTGTGTAGGTAGCGGGACTTGCACGTGGCCAGCAATGTCCTCACCATTGTGTCGAGCATGTCATACGGTTCTCCTCCAAACGGATGCTCTCCCGTGCTGAACAGCTTCTGGAATGAAAACAGTGTCTTGTAGTCTGGTCAATTCATCTTGAGTTGATTTCATCTTGAGTTGATCAACTCAGCCTGGCCTGACCGTTAGCCACTCCGCGGCCGCCTTTCAGGTGGTCCGGTGCTTCGAGTCCGTGAAGAAGGGCCTCGAGTGGACATCTCTGAGCGGAATGTCATTTAGAGGCAAAGCAATGCCACAAGCAACATTAGCGCATGTGCGGGTGGAATGGTCTTTAGGTTCGCAAGGCCTCCCCGTTTGATATTTAAGCAGGTGTTGGTAGCATTTCTGACAACTGCCTTCAGTTACATCCGACCCAGCTGAAAGAGAAACACCCTAAGCGGGGTTCAAGCAAGTTCGGGTGGAATAGTCTTCAGGTTTGCAAGACCTGTCCGTCTGATGTTCCCGCCAGTAGATATAGCATGTTTTACACCTGCCTTTAGTTACAGACGACCTCAACTAGCTGGAAGAGCAATACCACAAGCTGGGTTCAAGCAAGTGCGGGTGGAATAGTCTTCAGGTTCGTAAGGCCTCTCCGTTTTATGTGTACTGAGGTGCCTGTAGCATTTTCGACACCTGCCTCATTGTATGGGTGAGCATCTCGATTTCCTCCACCTGCCCAGCGCTGTACTCCAAGGGATCTGGAACTACCTGCCTAGTCCCGTCCTCCAAGGGAAGGGGCCTAGCTACCTGCCTAGCGTTGTGCTCCAAGGGAGCCACCTGCTCTGCGCCGTACACCAAGGGACGGGGCTGCTCTGCGCTGTACACCGAGGGAACCATGTGCCCAGCGTTGTGCTCTAAGGGAAGGGGCTGCTCTGTGCTGTATACTGAGGGACGGGGCCGGGCCACTCCCTGATGATGACCGAAGCTTGGCAATATTGGCCTGAGGGCCGACGAGGGCACCGTGTAGTGGTTGACTCCAGGAGCCGATTTGCACCGGCTTCTCCGACAGTTTTACCGTCATCTCGCGGTTGAAAGGTCTCCCTTCGAGGAACCCCACCACCATGGTATCGGTTCTGGTTGGCAGTAGTGCTCCAGTTTGGTCCTGCGGCATCCATACTGGGTGGCCCATTAATGAGCACAGGGGCCATATGGACCGTTGTTCGGAGCCGATGATGTCAGGCTTGTCTTAGGCGCAAAAGTCTCTGGCGGCAGCAATCATCGAACAGAGCTCGTGAGGTTCGGAATGCCGTTTGGTGAAAGCTGAAGTCAACGCGTCGGTGAGCGTGTCAGATCCAATGAGAGCAACTCAAGCCGACGAGCGTGTGTACTGCTGGAGGCTGGGCCGTGTGTCCCGCGATGATTCTTCGTACACGGATGCATCCAGGCAGTCCTTGTCCTTTCTGAGGGACTTGAGATGCATGGGAAAAGCATTGTCCTGACGAAATACATTGTGATACTTCACTCCCTTGGCAAAACCCAAACCAAATATTGAACCAATTCCCCATTATCCGTCGTAGCCATCAATTCATCGCTTCGTCGCAAGCAGTGATTACAAACTAAATTGTCTGCACTCCTCATGTTGTCTTTCCGGAGCCGGGAACGCCAGCAACAGTAGCCACGCTGGCAGGCAAATGGCACAAATTTCTCAAGGTTGAAAGCGCCTTGCCGCGTGAAATTGCCAATCATGAGATCCTGCATGATGTAAGGGTTTTCCTGCAGAATATCAATGACGCGGCTTCTCCGTCGAATCCCGTAGTAAAGTTGTACTACGAACAACGGCACAAGCGACCAAGTCCCATTGTATTAAACATCTTCACCGCCTTGCATCTCTGGTGGAATGTCTTCTCATCAACTGGTTGGACCATGGTTTCAGGGAGAACATTGTCAGCAAATTCTTCGTGGAGCTCCCTTAGCCCACGGGGTCAATTGATCATCCCCAAACGTGCTGTATGTCTACTTGCCCTCCTCCGCCTGGCCGTCTTGACCTATCCCTGTGGGTTCTTCCGATGGCCTTATAGATGCTGAGCCGTGTATATGGAGCTTGAACTGGCGGAGGGCTTGAAGAGATCGAAGGACCGCGCGAACTTCTGAGTCCTGTCCATATTGATCGTGCTGTTGGTGAACGACAAAGGGATAATATGAGCAACTTCTGGATTAGGGGTACTAGAGATCCTGCATCTACTCTCATCATATTTGAGTACCAGCTTTCTCTGCGCAGTATTTCGACTCACAGAGTCTTGATACGAGCGGTCTTGCGCCGAATCAACGATCTCTTCAGGAGGACTCTCAGCTCCCGAGTCTACATCCGTTCTCTAGTGATAGCTGACCCTGCGCTTTCCCACTTTCTTCGATTCGGGTCGCTGGGCTGCTTTGCTAGATTTCGGACGAGAAAAAGTGAAGCGCATCCGATGTTTGTGGAGAAGCCCATCAAACGATGGCTTTGTGTATCTCTCGTGTGTCGATCTTGTACTGGCATGCTTCAACAACCTCGAGCAGGATATCTATCCGGGTTCCTTGAGGCATCAACTGGCGAGGAGTGCCTTGAGCCAATGCGAGAGTTCACCGCAGACAATTAAGGGGCTTTGTCGTCGACATGTATGACGTCGCCCAGTGCATGCCCGGCCTTTTTCCTTGCAGGCCGTACACTGACCTCTGCATATCTTAACGTGATGGTAGACTATTTTTCTAACGTCGCAAAGACAGCGTGGACAAATTTTCGAGATCTGATCGCGTGAGCGTCCCTTGCAGCCTGCAGGCGAAGGGTATCGGGCCAATGTCAGATACAATGGCATCCATCCATTTCCCGCTGTCTGCTCCAGAAAATTGGGCCATTCTGGTTATGAGGGAGAGTTGTCATTCATCATCAGAGTCAGGGAACTTGAACCAGACGGCTTGTACGAGAATTCCATGCCCCTCTGCTTAAAGTCGGTAAGCCTGTTCCATGACGGCAAGGATCGGTTGTGCCCAATCGAGCGAGCAACGCGATGTACGGTGTGTGGTATTTCACGCTGTATCGAGCAGCTTGGGCCACGACCTCGTATGAATTTCCCAGATATGCGGGCGTCGCACTCTGCGCGCTAGCGGAGGATGGACGGAACAAGACTTCGAGGAGAGACAACAACTGTAGCACTGGCATGTCAGCTTATGATTGATATAAGGTCGACTGTAGTTGGAGTTTTGGGGATTTCGTTAAACCTACAGGAAGATGTCTATGAATGTAGGAAGGCCGAATCCCAGCCACTCATCTCCAGACATGGCAGATATCCATGTGAGGCCCTCAAATTGGTGCTCATCTCTGGGGATGTCTGGGATGTCTCTGCCTGTAGCTCGTAGATGGGCGAGCCAGCGGTCTACACCCTGGCGGTAGAGGATAAGATTGTAACGGTGATAGGCCATAATAATACCAATCATGATGAGTGTCTTGCCGAGTCCCATAGTTGAGCCCAGGGTAGTCATCATAGCTTTCTCAATCCGGTCCTGAACAATTCTAGCGATATCTGAAGTTAAGGTTCCCTGATTAGCAATCACCACTTCACATGCTTGAAGCGGTGCTTGGCTTGGCCTTCACCGCACCCCTCAAGCCCAGCGAGTTTGACGGTTAGCGAGTTCGTGTTGCAACCGTCTAATGTAGCACTCCTATCTCATCTGACACTCTTTCTGGACTTGGCCACGTTGTGCTCGCTGTTCTCGTGGTTTGTGCTCTCGATTGGGTCAAGTTCCATCCACTCTGTCCTCTGATGTATCAATTGGGCTCAATATCTTACTTGAACTTGGTGGTCTCCCTAATTACCAACTCTCGGAGGCCTTCACCGATAGCAGGAGGGACTGAGCATTCCACTGATGATTCACCCAGCGAGCAGAGCAGTCCCGTATCTGATGTCCGCAGTTCATCGTTGTGCTCGACAACCGGCTAAAGACCAACAAGGGTGTGTGCTCAGGGTACCGGCTGTTGAATTAAAAGCGTAGGTATAGATGATTTCTTTTCCATTTGATGGGACCTGCTACCAAGCCTTCACTTGGGAAAGGGTTGGTGGTGGAAGGTCTCTGCCAATGCCGAATCCAAACTGACATAACCAAGATTAGCGGCGCCTATAATCATCACTCAATCGGAACTGAGTAGTCATTCATAGGGATTTCCCGATGAGTTGAGCCTCGTTTTTTGCGGAAAAAGAGGCGGAGCACGAGCCATACGACTCGGATTATCGTGATAGTCGCAACCACGAATCCCATCATCTGGCCAACGGACACAGAACCGGAGCTCGGTTTCATGCCCGCGGCTATGGCGCGATGGGCGGCTGCCATCGATACAGTGGCCAGTACCGCGTGTACAGTGTACATTAAGGTGACCGTGGATGGGCATTCCTGATACACGCGGTCATGGTCTCTGAGATGGAGCGGCCTGGCGGTGTTCTGTTGTTGCATAGATTGAAGATACCCATCACGATAACTGTACTTGGATGCCAGGTAGTATGATTCCATGAGATTGATTTCTTCTTCTAGGGTATGGAACTTTTCCTTTGCATGGCTGGGTTCTGTTGGTTAACCTCTTTTCCGGCACGATGGGACCTCAGTTTAACTATCGTGAGGCGCACTGTCTGCAGATTCGGTAGGCTATCCTCAGCGTTGAGGGCCCTTTTGAAAAGAGAGAGATCAGTCTCTAGCTCGAGTATCACGACACGTACAAAGGCTGGCATCATGTGAGCTGAGAGGAAGGGGCATAACCTTAGTTGAAACGTAGTTCATGAAGGTCACTTTATCAGTCGGTACCCCCGTATTCATAGTGGAATGGTTCATCACCGCATTTATAGTGTGTGGTTGCCTTCCATTGTACAACCATTTGGGACGGAATCAAGGTCTGATGCGTGCATCGAGACACAGAGAAGGGACTCGATAGGTATAAGATCAGGTACACATTCAATGCGACGAGACTTGGCGTTATGTTCGGTTTCGTTATCAACAGAGCTGTCTGGATGTGGGATCGGCTCATTTCCCCATGCGTTGTATTGAACTTGAATACCCTGGCCATCGGTCAGGTCTCGGGCAACGAGACGGCACTGGTGATCCAGCCCAATCGAGAAATGGCACTCTTCGAATGTGCGTGGCAGAGACGTGCCTTTGTGAGGCATCGTGCCCTTCTTTCTAGCAATGACCCGCTTTGTTCCTGGAACAAATGGAAGGGGCTTGCTCACCTAATAAGGTGTGAATGAAACGAAACAGGGTGGGAGAAAATCTGAACTCTCTAGCAATTTCTACTCAGATGCTTTGGCTCACCATGTCGGGCTTGTAGTTGAGCGGGCCAAAGTTGGAGTTCAGATGCCCTTAACGAGACAACTCAACACACCGAAGCATCGTGGTTAGGACACTGTTTCTCCTTTAGGGGCCCATGACACTCGTATATCCCAGCACTGTGCCAGTAGTCCACGCGGCATCAACGCGTTGAATAGGGCCATCCCCGGGCCAATTGTATTGATCTTCCGGATGCGGCCCCAGATATCGTTGGATCTCCTAAATCGCCATGTTTTGGAAGTCGCTATGGCCGACTGCCAAGGCATGTGGTCTGGCGGTGGCACAATGTGAGCAGGATTGTAAGTAACGTGAGAACCTTGGCCAGGCCTCCGTACTCTCGGAATGTTGCTCATCATCCAGGCCGAAGGGATTCCTCCGACTAATCCCCCGAGTACAGATTCTTCGGAACCCAAGTATTTGGCCAGGCTGACCAGCTAGCCTCTTTGACCTCGAAAGACAAGGAAAGGAACTTGGAGATGGGTGTGTATTATGGATCGAGCTAATGAGTATGGGAGAGTTGCTAGGTGCTTCTCAGTAGCCTCTTCTATGGAAGGTTCCAGATAATCAGGATATTGGTTTGCCTGATATCCTGAAACCGGCTCGCCTATGAGAGGCAAGAGATAACAAATTAATCAATCACACGGGCGGCACGGGAGGACGAAAATGTCCTCATTTCGTGGCAGCGAGCGAAACAGACCAGTTCTGGTCCTTGGGTTTCGGAGTAAGGAGACGATTGTCAGGCGGATATTAAGTAAATGAACTTAATGTGACCTTCTAGATCGTAGTCTGGTGGGATTCCGCGGTCATTTAGATAGCTGCTCCCAAGTTCGACGTCGCCCTGGGCATTGTAGTCCTTCAGTGCGAACAAGCTTTTGTAGGGTGGCAGGACAGTGCCTTCGAATGACATAGTCCCAGGGCCATTCTTGTATAATTCTGCACAGAGCCGCGCTCCCGATGAGATGTTCGCAACGAGACGGCCCGCAGGTGGATGGAGTCAGCGATCCATCACTCACGGCTCAGGGGCACCGGGGCAGGGCTCCTGGGGAAGGTTGTGATGGACTTGTCTTAGCAGACCTTGGTGCAACCCGCTTCATCTCTGGTCGCGCTGCGGAGCTTATATCCTTCTTCGTTGTAGTGTCTAGGTAGTCTGTAGACCCTCACTTCGCCCACAAGTTTCCTTCGATCCCAGATATATGTTTCGGACTGGAGTTACCTGTTCATCACCAAGTACTCACGACCCCCTGCCATCCGATAAATACTTCAGTTGCGCTCAGCGGTAGATTAGTATGACATGTATGGCCTTTGAAGTGGCATGACCCTAAAACTTGACATATTAAGTAGATGACTTCTAAGCTCCGAAGCAAAAACACTTCCCAAATTGATTATGGGCATCTTGATCGGAGAATGATTCCATCGCGTGGCAAAGGTGACAGCAAGTAAAACGCCTACATCCTTCACCTTCACCTGGTAAGAGGAGCAGCCTGTAAAGGGGGCGGTCCATGAAGCCTCTGTGCTTTCCATACACCACATACTTCAGAGGAGATCATGTACTTTCCGGAATGCAACACCAAATGAGCTGTCTCCCTCCGGGCTTCGATTGTGCCCTCCTTAGCCACCTTACACGTAAGGGTCTGTGATTCTCCGCGCACTCGAGCTCCATATAGGGCTGCATGAATCCGTGCTCGTTGTTTCTAAAAACCTTGGTAACAACGGTATTCCTCAGTGAGATAATCCTGCGGAAAGGGACTGTAGCGATGCGGAAGACGTCTAGGATTCCTCTTGCTTGTTGAGATACTGAGCTCGTCTTCTTCTCGATATTGTATGTTCTCCTCAGCATTGTGCCGCGACGCTTGCCATCCCCACATGCTCCCTGGATAGAGACTCGGCCTGATTGGGTTGAGCATCTGGTAGGCATGGTCAGTCGCCGGGATCAGGGCATCCTGCCCTTGAATGCGCCGTTGCCTAGCGCAGTAGAAGGAGGAGCTATGGTTCGTTGTGACATCTTCAGCCGTTGGTGGGAACATTGAAGTTATGCAACAGATACTATTTCCAATGTTGTGTAGGCGTCCTTATTGTTAGGGAATGGAAAGGCTGTATTGCCTTGCATCAGGCAGAATGAACTCAGCGGACCGCAGCTGTAGGAGTCGCCTTGGTCCGAAATGGGTGGGCAACCCAATGCGAAGTTATGGGTGAATTCGAGGCGGACCAGAAACTGTCTGAATGGTTTACCACGAGCACGAAACCTGGCCTACTTTACGCTTGTAGTCTCATGTAACGATAGTGTTTGCCCTCCTATTAGGAGCAGGGGCCTAACCTGGCTTCTGACAGTGGTTTGAGCCACATCGATGTTACTTGGCTCCCACCTCCTTGTTATCAGACAGCTTGTCCAATGGTCCAGGCTGCATTGGAGGCTGCAGCATTGGATCTCCGATGAAGATAGCCGGGGTCCCGGGAAAATGGGACAATAATACCATGGCCATACATTCTGTCATGGGCTGTTTCGTCCACGAAGCACATTCTTGGTGGAGCACGAACGAGTTTGGCTACCTCCTCTAGATAGAGCACAGGGCGTACCAGCCAAGATATGTTTCAAGAAATGACTTCGATCAGAAGTCTCTTCCCTTCCGCTTTTGCCTCTCTCGCGAACGAAGCTGGATCGGTCTCAGCGTTGTACCAGTGCCCCGGAGGATGAGGGCCTTCGGTTTCATCACTCTCTGGAAGATTCACGCCGCACATCCTCTTGTATCATTGGGTTCGGGTCTTACATGGCAGCAGGGGCACTTGCTTGTGAGTCGACATGCTCCGGCATGGTAGGCGGGCGGTGGTGAGGCCGGCTAGTCGCCGTCGGGTGCCAGACTCCTTTGTGCTCCTAGCTCGTAAGTCATCTCGTAATTGTTCGCAATTGGTGTCTTTTGTAGGTTGAGCAAGAGCTTCACCCAGCGCTTGATACGTCCCAGCTCAATCTGACCTCGGGAGGCCAACCCCGCGTTCGTACGCCATGTTGGTGTACGCCTCTCCAAAGAAAGGTTGTTCAGGTGTGAAGTCCAGCATCAGATTCGCAATCCCCAATTAGTTCGCGGTAATACTCATCATAATCCCGTACACTTGATCAAGTGAGCTTCTTTTGAAAAGGTACCATGTGACGAACCGTAGTGTGCGTGAGAGTCGTATTGTTACTTGGCTGTTCATCAGTCCCTTGTCGACTTTGCCTCTATATTGCAGCGTGATATCCCTTGCGGTTGCCTCAAATCCTCTCCATGATCTGACCTTCATCCACAGGCAGAAGGTAGATAGGATACCACAAGAGAAGGCGTTTGGTTGCGTTGCAATATTGGAGCAGGTAGCGATAAAAGACGAGCAAAGGTTTATCTTCAGACTGAAGGCAGTAAAGCTGGCTACCGTATAGTCAAATCGGCTGTCCCGCTCATATGACCAAGTATCCATAAAGTCTAGGATACACTCCTTCTTATCGAACACAAAGGAGGCTCAATGATAGCCTTGAGGGTGTTCATCATCAAGCCTGTAATGAACCGTCGTCCTCCGCATTCCCTCTGGAACTCCTCGAGAGAGGTAAATCCTCCGTTGTGCTGTCCTGCGACAACTGGAAATCCCGTAGGAAATCTGCCGCAGTTGTTCGTGGCCTCGTAGAACACACTTGACTCTGGCCCTCTTGCCTGCGTATTGACCGCTAAGGAATCGATCAAACGCCCAAAAACAAGTTCCTTGCCATACAACATGATATCGTGCATCGCAGAGAGTTCTGCGAATTCGTGCCAGTGGTCGGTAGATCCTTGTGCAGCCTTGGTTATGAAGTTGTAAACGTACGTCAGGTGAGGTCCCCAGGCAGATAGCTTTCGGCTGGGCCGATCATTCCACGAGAAGCTCTGCCAATTGGGCATCGGTTCTGGGAGACCATGAAGAATCGATTCGAGTTCATCGGATGCCCTCAATTTCTTTGAATCTTATCCACGCGAGGTGGTTGAAGGACAGATTGAGGGGACATCTCAGCATCTCGTGCGCAATCATTTCCTGTATTATAGGCGTCCGGAATGTCGGGATATTGTCCTTGATCACAAGCAGTCGTACCCACTTGTTGAGCGTTGAGAACAGATGGTGATCGTGATATGTGTCGACGACATGGACGAAAAGTCAGTCGCAGAGTGACGTCTGTCCAGGACAGGTATTGCGTCCGAACATCTGCTGTATGATATAGGGGGGCATGTTATCCCATGACAACACCAGTGTGACACTGGCTTTGGAGGTTTAGCCCTGTCGTACTTGCATTTACGCACATTAAGTACGATTCTGTCCACACTATCTTGCTCCCATTATTCCCTATCATCCTCACGCGAAGGCCTATTCTCGGGTCGCCCTCGAACCTGAGCAGGTTCTGAAGAACCACTACCGGCGGCTGTTTCTTGCCGGGTGGTTGCCTCCGTCAGTGACCTGGTAGAGGTTTTGGTTGGTGAGCTTTCTTTGCTCTCAGAACCTACCTAGTCGGCGACGGATCGGGAGGTTGGTGATATCTCCCAGATCCCCGGGCATGGATGGCGATGGCTGGGGAGTTTCGGGACGCATATCTCAGAGTTAAAAGCTTTGATCGCATTTTGTCTGGCCTTAGGTTTATCCATAGACCGTATAGTGGCTGTCTGATATCCAGCCACCTTCAGCTCTGATACGAGGACTTTGCATACAAATAGTTAGCAAACTGGATTTGGATTTAGGGGGTTTCCGCTCTCCTACTGAAGTAAATCGGGCATGGGCGAGCCACTTCAGTGGGGTGCTGTTTAAATTGACGAAGATATGAAGGAGTACGGGGTGGGACTTACTGTTGGATATATGGTAAGTCCACAAAGATAATTGCCCTCTTCTTGTTGACTTCAACTTGCTTGTATATGAAGCCCGCGAGTCTAAAGGTTGTTCCCATTCTCTACTCGAATGAGACAGCTGAGGAGGATTGGCAGCTGCTCTGGCCACGGATGGTGATACTCCTCCTCCTATTCTGCGTATAGTCCGATGAGTGAATCCAGGCCTATGATGTATGTAGCTAGTATATCGAAGGCGCCCTGTACCCTAAGGCTAGCGAACTGACCTGTGTCCGCGTTGTTGGTAGGTGGTGGATTACCAGCAGGTGGATTATCGGTAGGTATCTTTGTAAAGTTCAACGGATGCAGTGCCTAAAGAGTTAGAAGAGAGATACTAGGATCAGATTGATGACCTGCTTACCGGAAAATAGCGTAGTGCCTGGACTGTATGAGCATTGTGGTAATACTGTGCGAGGGTAGCTAGCTAGGTGTGAGAAGGGAAGAGCACAGAGGGTACTCTGCAGGGGAATTTATTTTCGCCGGTATTCTAACGTCCCTGCAATATTTGCATGGACGAGGAGCTGTCTCTGGCGAGAAAATCGGCAGTATCGGCAGAAGAGTGGGCGTAGTCCCTCTACAAGGAGCCATTGTCGGTCCACGGCATAATGGGAGATTGCCGCTCTGCAGGTTATGCACCACTCCTTCCGGGCCGAATCAAGTCGAATCTGGGATTGTCCGGGGAAATTCCACCTGCATTCCAAGGCCACCCTGAACGAGTGCAGCATCTGGTACGCTCTGAACCGTGACTTCACCCCGAGCATCGTGTTCGCCTCTGTCGTCTTGTCCACATCGTAAGGCGGAACCATGTTTGGGAGACGTTGTTTGGGACCAGTGACGCGGCTCAACGCCCCTTTTAAGTCCTGAGATAGTCCTCTTCCGCATGATCGCCGCCTACTATGACCACGACACCCTTCCTGCCCTCGGGCTTGCCAGAATGAACGGTTCTCCCTTTCGCGGTTTTCGTCCTCGCGCAAGTAGAAGTTCACCATCTGATCATCCCCTGGCGCGGCGACTTCGCTCGTGGTCCCGTTGGCAGGGACCGGCAAGTTTCCATTCGCAGTGACGACGTCTTCGTCCTTGTCTACTACGACGGGCCAACCGCTCCCGTCCGGTGATCTCGTGATCCATGGCGCTTCATCAGGAAGTTGTCTGGGTCCATTCGTTCCGTCAACGCCCGGAAGCATGTCCACGACCCATGTTGATCAACCTGTAGGGCAAGTATCGATCAAGGCTCGAAGTGATGCCTCAGAGGTTGCTGGGTTCTGGCTCTACCGCTACCACTCGACCTCGAAGACGAACATGAAGAGACGGCCGCTGAAAATAAACTAGACTTCTTCCTCGTACACGAACTACCACAGTACGAACGGTTGAGGCTAAGCGAATTCTGATGTGTCGAATTTGCTCCGTTCGAGACTTGAATGTTTTGACGCACACATTATCAGAGCATGTGCTCTCGAGAAAAACCTTGTCTTCGTTATTGATGACGAGGTTAGAGCACTCGAAAAGGTTGGGTTGAGTTCTCCGAATCGTCCCTGACAAGCCTCGATCTCTGGGCACATGTGACATTCTGGGTCTTGGGTGCGGTGAAATTGGATCCTCGCTCTGTCAGCGAGGTCTGTAGTTCGGAACAGAGTGTATCTCGTTGTACAAGCACAGACGCACATCCACCGGCTGAGATCAATGACGAGTTCTCACCGTCATCGTCCGTCAAGCCATCAAAGTCATCATCTTGGACGATGAAGAGCTGAGGCACACGGCGGGCCATTGGCGATCGTTCTCGCATCTTAACGCAGTGGAATTGTATGCTTTGTAGATATCCTGCTTGGCAACTGGCGTCGTCGCGAACTCAAAGCCTCTCCACGCAATTCGAATTTAGGGTCTGGAGGGACTAAACCCTCAGACAGCGTGGGTTGCTGTTTAACCTGAACGGGATGATGTGGCAGACATCAGGTTTGATCGCTACAATTGTTGGCAGTGCTGAGAACGACCAGATTTGGGGAATAAGCACCGGGGCAGACTTGTTATCCAAGTCTGGCCCCGCGGAAGAGGCTCTAAGAAATGGTTCTCCGCCAACTTGGGCCTCTCAGACCGCCCCGCTCTGGTGCTGATCTTCATGACTCTGCTGATAGTCCTTGATTTTTCATCGTATCCGAACCCAAAGTACCGCTTTGGCTCTTTCGACGGTGCGTTCCGCTTCGGTCATGGCTCTCCCTGATCTTCCAGACACCGCGGTTTAGGGAGGAGAAACTAGCTTGGGAGGAAACGGAAGCAGTCAAGCCGGATGTTCTAGAGTAGGCTTGGGGAAAGATTCGACATGCTGTTGGAGCTGAGCTTCTATAGTAGTGGTGAGCCAGGTCTGATCAAACGCTCCGGATAGGCGGCAAGACGACGGGACCAGCTGGTTATATTCGACAACGGCCATTCGGTGGGTTCAGTCGCAGGTCTCCATTCGTTCGAACTGCCTACGGGATGAACTGAAATGCAGCTCGGCTTCAATTTCTGACGTACGTGGGACTTGAATGGGGGACACCATGTATCTCGGCCACAGGTTCAGGAGTGACAGACTGGGCTCCCTGGCATGGTGGCTCCCTTTCCTTGCCTTGATCAACGTTGATGGCTGTGTTGAGCTTCGCATTCTTGGTTCCCGATATCACCAATGTTTTTCTTTTGAACTCGCCACGCCTGGAAAGAAGGCTCAATGGATCAAGACTGAATTACAAAGGAGAGAGTCGCGGCAAGTTGGATGGAATAGTCAACTCAGAGAGCAAGTCACAGCCACATCTACCTTCTTGGTATGAACCCTCCAGATCCTCTTACTTTCCCTCCAGGGCTCAGAAGAAGGATATTGCTGCTGGGCAGATGTTTAGATGTGCAGACACGCTCCTTGAGGGAGATTGTGCGTGTATGAATTCTTGACCCCGGTCAGATGGATTCCGAATTCGGAACCAATTCAGGCTTCTCGAGTTAAACCGCACGGATGCATCTTGGTAGATAGACTCAAACGCGTAGTGAACCCGCATTTATCTGCTTCGTTTTAGATCATGCTGTTCAAACCTCAAGGGGTTTTGACTTCGATTATATGTTTTGCAGATGTGGTTTTCTCTGCGAGCTTAAGCGTCTCCCGCTCCAGAAAATGAGTTTTACCTTTATAAGCTTGCATCTCCTTGCGATCATATGTCTATACTACTTTGGCCGAGGAGGAGTGCTCGACCATCGGACGAAACCATCGGTCTCTCCGTTTTATGGTCGACTTTCACGAAATTCAGTGGCATTCGGTAGTTTTGGCTCATCAAGTACAGCAGTAGTACCTTGTGACCCTGCGTCGTGAGTCACACTACCACTGAGTCGATGGCCCCTCTATGTCTCATGCCAAACGCAAGCTCGAAAACCTAGTGGCCGAGCGGCGTGCACTGCGAAATGAGTTGCGAAAACGAGGGGGCTCTCCTTTTCTCCCTATACGTCGTATCCCTCACATTGGCAGTTCTGAGTCGGTTCTGTCCCCAATCGACTGGACAATGCAGGGGGGCGACGGATATAATTCGTCTTCCTCAACCCGCGTCAACACATTGTCTCTCATGAATTCTGGCGGGCACTGACCCTGATGGAGGGTGATGAGTACTAATCATCATGTTTCCACGCAGGCATCGGTTCAACATTTCCGATATCCCGGTCTTGCTCCATATGGCAAGCCCAGCCGAATAGATGTTTGTCCCCAAGGAACGCGCTGCCTCCTCTGCAGTGATGCCTGAGATGGGCTGCCTGACATACTGAGCAAGCGGCCACCTTGGCCTTTTGATTAAGCACGTCCATCCTCTCCTTCTGTGCGGGCGATGGGTCTGGGGTGAATGTCCCCTATTCCCTCAGCTTCCAGTCGGCCGCGGGCCAGGTTAAGTTTGCCATATTCACGTCTAGCTTCGGGGAGTGTTATCCTTCCGATACACAGGACACCTGATTCTTTCGGCACGAGATAAGCCAGATGATGCAATCAGTGCCTCTTTCTCGAAGTCCTTATCCGTCACCTCTCTGTAGGAAGTTGCTGTTTTGCACATCAGACGACAACCCGGGCAGTTTCATCCTCTGCATCAGGTCTGTCGTCATCAAGTCTCTTGATTGACAACACAGCCCCGACTCAAACGTTCTAGGAAACTCAGAGTGCGCTGTTTAGAGCATCACCCCCCACATCATTGCTTTGATTCCAGCATGTACTGATGTACAGGGCGAGAAGTCGTGGTTGGCAAGCCAGCCAAGGGAAATCTGGGTCAGTGGTGTCGGTTACATTGGGCTCCTAAGAAAGATGGCTTGAGTTTCCAGGAAGAGACACCAGTACCATAGCCATGCACTATCTGTCATAGTGTAGCCTCGTCGACGAAGAACATTCTCAGCAAGGAAGGACCACGGCCCGTCAAAGGTTTGCCATTATGGCCCCCCTAGATAACAAGCAGGTACGTGGCCAGGATTACAACATCCCTCCAACGGCTCACATGTGTCTCCAGCTGATGGCCTATTCTCCCCAGGCAGCTGAGATCGGGGTCTTCCAACGATAGCACCGCCCGAGCGAGAGAAAACATGGCGTGCTGTTCAACAATGGGCCGCTGGCCAGGTCCATGCTCAGTATGGCAATCATCTCGACTCCCCCCGAAGGGTCGTATCTCTCCGCCTCTCCGTCTCAGTCAAGTACGTCCCAGGCGGTTGGGCAGTAGGTTTGAAGGTGTGCAAGAAGCACAGCGCTGGGCAAGATGAGCAGCCGATCCCGCAGCAAATAAGCTGAAATTCCTGCATCAGCGGCACCAATAGCCACGAATTTTGTCAGCTTGTGAAATGGGGCGTTCAGACTCTTGATGAAAAAGGACCAGCGCTCTCTGGGGCATGATCTGGGAGCAGATGGGGACAGAAAAGGGGCTGGCCGTCCCGCCGGGGGAGGACCTCATCGACAAGCAAGTCTCCATGGGGTCTCCGATAGCTCCCCAAAGGCTCTGGGAACCTCTCGTATTGCCATACGAAGAATCTCGCCGGATGTGGGCAGCTTGATGGAATACTCTTTCTTCACTAGTAGCTCGGCGTCAAGTCCATGGAGCGGGATAAATGCCTCGAACGTGACCATACAGGGCTGGATCGTTGCCATATGCCGATAGAATGGTGGTAGAAGCCCTCCAAATGCTCTAGGTTAGACTCATTGGCAAATGTAGTAATCACAGTGGCTCTAATTACAAGCAAACCCCATTGTTTAGGTTTGATGAATTTGGAATAACTGATAGGTAGCTCAGGAGGAGGAACACCCACGCCACTGATGTAACATTCTGGAGAGTTTCCGCTGAACTGGAAATGGGGTTTTCTTCCTTGACGCCGCTAATCAGTGTCGCTGCATCGCAACTTAATCATCTTTATGAAAAGATCTGCATCATCAGAGGGTCTCCGGACAGTGAATTTGTCCCCGAAAACAATTGGCCAGCCGGGGTTTTTGAAGACTTTGTAACCGGGAGTTCTATAGGCCTGAGGCTGGATCTCGATTCCGCAGGATTTGTCACGTTCATCGTCCATGTCAATAAGGTCGTTGTAAGAGAAACCTAATGCCTTGACCATCGGTAGCCGCACAACCTGAAGAGTAATTTCGGTAATATCTTGGTCTGGGATTTCGGTCCTGTCGAGGTATTTGGTGCTAAGGAAGCCCTTATCCAAGTTGCTGTGGAGATCTCGTTCAAGGCAGATCGGATCTCTGGCTGGCCGAGTACAAAGGCATATGGTAGAGAGCCAAGGTCCAATTGCTAGAAGCAGTTCTTCAAAGTCGTACCGGGCTGTGACTGTGAAACTTGGTGATTGAAATTATGCAACTGTGCTTTTCCAAGCCGAGTATGTGTACCTTGCAGAAGGGATGATTGGTGATGCTTCAGGAACGACGATGCAGACGGTGACGGTGACGGAGGTGACGGTGATATGGGCGATGACGATGCATGCGTTGGCGACGACTCAGGATAGATCTCATCGAACCCCGACTTTGTCGAAAGGGAGACTGAGGTCAAATATGGGCCTTATAGCTGCCTCCTCCTCTTCAAACGCACCACTCCCTCTCAGATGGTGTTCTGGTGATAGAGTGCGTTCGCTGAACGGAGACTATTCACCCGAAAGCCTTGAAAGATGAGCTCCTCGCGCGCAAAAGACCCCAAAGCCCAGTCATCACACACTCGGGTGGATAATTTGAACGACTGCCCAACATAGTATCGGATATAATGTTCATCCCGATAAGAACATAGCCCGTTACATCTATCTCTGTCATCGGCTTCAACGCGGCGCTGTGGTAAACATCCTCCATCAGCAGATTTGTTGACTAGATCGCCGCATAACCGCCGCTTATATCGAGCCGCGTGGGGAGGGTCTCCCATAGGGAAGCAGAATCCTGATGCAAGGGTGTTACCGGGGCGGCCCAGCACGATCTCATCGTCGTCTCCTTGGAATGCCACCGAGTTGTTTGATGACAGTCCTGGCGCACGAGTGCGGTCAGTGAGGCCACCAGTGTTCAAGTCCATCCTGGATCAAGCCATTCCCACGGAGCTGCTTTGATTTTGTCTGCAATCAAAGCCACGGAGGAGGGAAGAAACTGGTATTCCCAGATTTGGTCCTCACATTCAGGGCCCAATGAACGAAAAGGTGCTCCACGGATGGCGCAGAGGAGTCTTCGAAGATGATGATAATGTGTGTCCAACAGCAACAGTATGTTCACCAAGTGCTCATCATGCTGGTGCATCAACACTAGCTAGTCCGCTCGCCGTC